TGCCGCTGCAGGGCGCTGCTGCCAGATGTGTGGCCGTGTGCGCTGTGGAGCTTGGGTGCTGGTGCCGCTGCTGGGTGCCGCATGTGTGGCCGTGTGCGCTGTGGAGCTTGTGTGCTGGTGCCGCTGGCAGATGTGTGGCCGTGTGCGCTTTGGAGCTTGGGTGCTGGTGCTTCTGCAGGGTGCCGCTGCCAGACGTGGGGGCGTGTGCCCTGTGGAGCTTGGGTGCTGGTGCCGCTGCAGGGCAGGGTGCCACCCGAGGTTGGTGCTGCAACGTGTCTTTTCTGTATGCGCTTTGGAGCGCTGCAGAGTGCCGCTGCAATGGGCCCACAAAATCGTTGGCTATCCTTAGGTGTATGCGGGTGTATGTTTTGATACTCACATCCTTCAGCGGCCAGCCATGCTTGGTCCCCTCCAATACTCCATCGCTGCGTCGATCTGGCCAGGCTAATTGGGGCAGCATTGAGGTGCTTTCCAAAGCAGATGGGAAACTTGGAGCTGCATGTAACATTCCTGAAAGAATGATGGAAGTGGAGGTATTCGGAGAATTGTGTTTCAAGGGGCCATGCCATCCACTGCCATGGGCTATTTCAAAGGGTGTATCTGCTGTGAATGTTCCACCTGATTCCACCTCTTCGATGGTCATCATTTCTCTCTCAAATGCCCGGCGAGTGCTCCCAACCACCACTCACGGAACAACAAGGAGTTTCCCAGTTTCAGACATCTGCAAACCAGAAAGAAGTCGACACTCTGAGGAGTCTTGAAATTGGTTTCGCTCCAGTGACTTTTGTCAGGACAGATTGGCTGTTCTTTGACCTGAATCTGTCATGCATCAGCAGCTCGGCCAGTGAACAATCTCTTTTTGGTTCTTCCCAACCAGCGAAGAATCGACAGCTCCAGTGAAGACCACCGCTTTGGCCGTTCCAATTTTGGGTAAGATGCTGGATCGCCACGGCTGCGAAGGTACCATGCCAGATCCGGCCTTGATCGCTGATCCTGAAAAACTTTGGCCACCAGGCAAGGACCTGACGGACACCGACAAACAATTTGGGAGCCTGTAGCAGATGCTGGTTGTTCGATGGCTCAATCAAGTGAAATGGTCTAATTGGTCTAATTGTCTAAAGGCCATATCACACTTCAGCCATTTCAGCCGTCCAACGACGTTCCTCACCATGTCAAGCTTTTGCTCCGCTGATGGCAGCGATGCAGTTCGGGCACAGCATCATCTCGATGAGCGAGATGAGGGTGCCGATTGCGCGGTGGCACGGCAGCTTCGGATGTGCATGAAGGAGGAACGTTGCAGGCTTGAGAGTTTCATCCAAGATCTATTTGATGCTCAAAGCCTCAAGCTACGAGAGCTGATGGCAGCCATTGAAGGGGGTGTGCGCTACGGCGACCACCCGCCCGGGCGCTCCAAAAACCAGGTGGCACGAGTTCGTGACGTTCCAAGCGCTTCCCAAGCGCGGGAGGGTGGCTTGGGTGACATAGGCGAGGAGGAACAGCAAAGAAGGCCGAGCAAGGAGCAAGGTGTCGATGGTGGGGCTGCAGGGATTTCACATTCGCTGCAAGTTCCAGAGGTACAAGTCACAGGCACAAATCCTATACGCGTGCGGAAGATCGTCTCCAGCCGCTTTTTTGCAGGCTGCATTCAAGTGCTGATCATAGTGGACCTATTGCTTTTAGGTTTTGAGGTAGACGCTTGGTCGGTACTTCCTCAGAATGCTCTCCCTACTTGGTCATTGTGGGGAAACCTTGTGCTTGTCATGGCCTTCTGTGTTGAGATCATCATGAGATTCATGGCTCACGGATGGAAGGCCATGCTTTTTGGCCCGGAGCGATGGTGGAACATCATGGGGCTTTTTGCTGCCCTTCTCTCCTTCATTGAAGTTTGCTGTCAAGTTGAGTTCCATCTGCGTCGACATGCGCAGGGTCACCTCATGGGCCTCCAGGTTCTTTACTTTTTTCGATCCTTACGCGTCTTCAGGAGTTTGAGGGTCATTCAGTTTGTGCACAAAATTCCTGCCCTGCGGGCGTTGGTGTTGTCAGTTGCAAACAGCGGCCCAGTCTTGCTGTCGTCGCTGGTGCTGCTTCTGCTCGTTTTGTACTCTTTCTCATTGATTCTGACGAACATGGTGGGGGAGTTTTGCAGGGAAATGACATACAACTATGCACACTTCTCCCACGACCAACCTCCTCTCTGCCCTTCTGCACTGCAGACAAAGTTTCAAGGGCTGTTGACAAGTATGATGACATTGTTTGAGATCGTCACCGGTGGTGTGGATTGGCAAGAGACCGGCACTGCATTGCAATCCGCATCGGACGTTGCTTTTGCACTACTGATGTTTTTCATCCTTGTGGCTGATTTCGCGATGATGAACGTTGTAACTGTACTTTGGTAGCCGAAGGTAATTAGTTTTAAGGTTGTTTGCATACATATATGTATGTGACATTACATATACTTCAGTTAAACTTTAGTCCAAGCAATCATTCCTAATCGATGAATTACACTCGTGTTGCATTGCTATGTCCGTACTCGCTCATGTAGACCCGTATGCTTTTGGTTTGATGAGCGATGATGAGCGGTATTTGTTTTGGGAGTGTCCTTTGGATTCTTTGCCGTGTGACTTGAGCTCACGAGGCCATGTTTTGCAATGTGGCCCTTGAGAGTGCCCAAGCCCACCGAGACATCGCCTTGGTGAAGCAGATGCAGAAGCGCCAAGCACTAGTGCATGCCCTCAAGAAGCTCTTCTCATGCCACGTCCCAAGCCAGGCTCACAGCATGGGTTTTGCCGACCTCCAGGAAGCCTTGATGAATGAAAAGCTCTCAGCCTGCTTGAGTCGATGGGGCATCCCTACCGATGACTGTCAGGCTCTTTTCATGGCAATGGATTCCGACAGCACGATTACAATCGAGGAATTCGTGGACACTTGCATGCAACTCGGTGGCCCAGCGCAAAGCCTGCAGCTGGCGAAACTGACCTTGCAGAACCAGTTCATGTGGCAGGACATCCAAGAGATCAAAGGATTTCTACGCAGGTCGCTGTCCTTGCAGAGTACTCGCATGAAGAGCGTGCGAGACTCCTGCAGCTTCTTCCACGGGCGGTGCAAGTGCAAGAAGCAGCGCACCCACGAGAAACCAAACCAGTCCCAAAACCAGTCCCAGATGAGCCTTGCCAACCTCCAGGATGCCTTGAAGGCTCAGAGCCTGACCGGAGTTGAGTTGAGGAATCCTATCGGCGACTCGCTCCAACGGACAAAGACATGAAAACAATTTTCATTTGCAGCTTGCCAAGCTGACCTTGGAGAAACAGTCCCTAGCGACAAGATTTGGCAGATGCAGATGGGATAGTAGATGGGATTTAATAGTTAGGTCACCGCCTTGTGGAGTGCTCGCATGAAGACCGTGCGGAAATCTGCAGCCACGAGCCTGCAACCTGCAAGCATGAGCTCTGAAAGGAAGACGGTGGAAAGGCCTGAACCTAGAAGCCATGTGGCTTCTATTGGAGGGGACTGGCTACCTATTTTGGTAGAGAGGTATATTTGCATGTGATTTTGACAATTTTGTGGATTAAACAGCGATTGCGACTAGGAGAAGACCCCTTTTCCTTCTCGGATCCCATCGGTGGATGCCAGTTGAGGTTTCCACCACTTGTCCGGCTTCTTTGTTCTTTCTCGTCAAGCAAGACACCTCCGGGGTTTGCCCCATAGACCTCCTCAGTTCCCATCAACGTCACCCCAGAGCCACCGCCAGAGCCACTATCTTCGATCCGACGAACCCATCGCAGCCGCTGCGAGCCGCGCTCCGGGCTTGGCCGCGGTTTCTTCGCACGAGACCGGAGGCTTCGATCCATACGCTTCGATGGCCTCGTGGATCAAAGAGCATGGCCTCGAGGCGTGGATCGGTGCCAGTCGGTGGTCTGCGAGGCGACCGAGGCGACCGGGCACGAGGAAGGATGGAGAAGCCCGCGAGAAGGCTGGTGGTATCGAACTCACCAGGTCCGATGAACCCGATGGGTTTTGGTCATTTCCATTCTCGATACACCCAGATGGGGACTGCTGCGTCATGATGCGCACTGCAGTCACTGTTTCAACGCCTGACCCTGTTTGCAGGTACGGGAGCGCCCGCAAAAGGCTTCTCGCTGCTAGTGGAAAATGGGTGGCTCCAGTGCCTGCAGCGGGGGGATCATGCAGGAATGCCTCTGTAGTCTATAGAAGTAAGGCTCACTCATGTGTGCGATTTCCCTAAAAATACAAAACAACATATAACAACATCTTTCATTTGTTAGACGTTGCAACTGGAGCCTTTTTCACACACCTCCAGTGGCCACTTGGACAGAAACTTGGACCACTTGCACACTCAAAGGAGCCGCGCTGGCGCTGGCGCCCTCTGTGACCTCCCGCTCGTCCCCGTTTGGCAGGAACACATCGACCGCACGGTGCGCGAGCTCGAGCAGCAGATCTTCGCTGCCGGGAGACACGACGTTCGTCCGATGTTCGCGGAGGTTCGGAGGTTCGAAGATGTTCGGACAGGTAGTGGAGCAGTAGAAGAGACACTGAGAAGGTGATGCGAACGAAGTTGGAAAGGAGACCTCTTGAAGTTGGGAGTACTTGTAGAGACAGCCCGAGAGATACAATGACATTCTGATTGATATGCCGGATATGCCAAAGCCTCCCTTAAAATCGTTTGGGAAAGATGTTCTTCCCAGTGCTCATGTTGGATAGTGCAACATCCAGGCGGGCGAGATCATTGTGCAGCAAGATGACCCTGCGAGGTGTATGCGCTTAGCTAGAGGGGTCCTGGCGATCAAAGTGCTTCAAAGATGAGCGTTTAAACATGAGTGACTGTGAGTTGAAGCAATTCTGGACATTGAGAACATGCGATTCTCATGCTTTCACTCGCGCTCTCCCGATTTTCCCGATTTTCGCCAGGCATTTTTACCTCATTCAGCGCGGAACAGTGGTGGTCTGGAGCTCAGTGATTGGCGCTTTGTCCATGCCACACGTTCCGGGCGCTGACTATGGCGCTACTGTGGACGTCCCTGACGATGAGGGTCTACCAAGAAGTGGCAAGAAAGGCTCACCACCAACGTCTATCCTTATACAGCACCGGGCATTTGATGGTTGGAAAGAGTTTGAAGGAGTTGCTTCTTCACAACTCAGGAACACTTATACGAAGAACTTCTACAACACTACTACTACTACTACTACTACTACTACTACTACTACTACTACTACTACTACTACTACTACTACTACTACTACTACTACTACTACTA